TGTCTTGGGTTTCTCCTTAATGGTTGCACAGTACTAGTGGCAGTAAGACTTTGCTTCTAGTTGATGCTTTCTAGTTCTGTATATTCGGGTATGGACTAGCTTAAGTTCTTTGTCCACTTGTTTCCCACCATTATGCCTAAGTTCTTGGACCATATTTTGATTTGTAGTAATGTTTTGATAGAGACAAAAGTAAGGTCTCGCTGTTTGTCTAATTTACCAAAAGCTGTAGATTGCTTTAAGAGATACAATTTTTTGCCAAGTGGTGGTGGGGGTTCAGTCTTAAAATTTATGCAATTATTCTTTTTCTTTCAGCCTTTTTGGTTTGAGAGTCAATCCAGGTGTGAACTGGAAGAGATCCTTGTTTGGGGATGACTATTAATTATAAGTTGTTTAAGAATTTAACCAGTTTTACTTAGAATGTCCTATATTCATTTTCCTCAATAGTATTATGTAATTCAGACAGAAATTATATAATGCCAAGTCAAATGTTTTATGGATGTCTATCTGCATTATTTCATTTAGTAGACCTGTAATACTGTTTACCATAAAAAACATTCATAAGAGGGTTGTGCCGATGTTGTTACTTATACAGTCTCATCAGCATTGTTTATAATTAAAACAAAAGTACCAGCTGAGGTGTAGTAGAGCTCATGTTGCTTTGTTTAAATAATACTTTCTGTTAGCAAGGTCTGCTTCCAAAAAATTTGGCCTTATAGGTAAGTGGATGGAAGAGCTTTTCTGATCAAGCCTGCCCCATGTCTTAAGGCAGCTAGAGATTCAGTAATACAGTCAGCAGTTAGACTCAGTGTTATCAGACAGGTGGTAGGTTAGGACCCTATTCACACTGACTTTCTTTGTAACAGAAATGAGATTTTGCTAGCAGAGTTTCAGTGGTAGCAAAGATATTCTGAGTCATCTTCAGGGTTCAGTGTATTTTTTGCTGCTGTTAGTGTTGATAGAACTGTATCAGCAAAGCAGTGTTGCAGATTTTGTGGTGGGAAAAAGCTAGTAGAGATGCAGTTGTTATGGTTGTACTTGCTTTAGAGCAGTGTGGTATTTGTTTGATGCATACCATGTGCTTAGATATATTAAAAGTTGTAGTGGCAGTGCTTGTTGTCAAAATGCTGAATTGCAAAAAGGATTCCAAAAGTTATAGGTCCTTTTAGATAGCTGGGAGCTTTGCCTGTGACTGGCTTTTCATACAAAGGGGAGTGAGGAAAGTATAAAAGGAAAAATGTGGTGATATCTAGTGGGCGTTTTGCATTGATTCAAGTTTTCTTCTCTTAAAGTTTATTTCTACTGTTTGCAGGCAAGAGGGGAAAAGAACAATATAAGGACTTACTTCACATGGCATGTAAATAAAAGGAAGCCTGTTTCTAGTGATTTAGTGAAAATTAGTTAATTAAGATTTTGATATGTCTGTTGATCTGTAATTCCACTTACCTTCAGCAGATTTGTTACTGTCTTCCTTATTAGATTTTCAAACTCAGAGTATGTTGCACTAAGAAGGAAACAATTTCTGTATGAAAGTAAATTAGGAACAGCACCCTTAAGAGCTTGGGAAAGTAGGTAGTGTTAGAGACTAGTCTTTAAAAGCAGAGATAGAATGATTAGATCAGTGGTTATCAGTGTGGCCCACAGTGATCTATGACATGCAATAGGTAAGTCTGTTGTCACTGTGTGAGGGTCTGTGCTTTCACTGGCTTGCCAGCTGAGAAATGTTGATAAGTGCTGGGAAAGAGAGCATCCTCAAGCTTCTGAGAACTGCCGACACGGTTTAGGAGGTTTTAAAATTCTTCAGTGATTGACTTCATATCTCACTAAAAAAGTATTGTGTCTAGCAGAAGCAGAATCTTAAATCTGATTTTTGCAAAAGAGTGGCTGTATGAGGTTAGACCAGATGAGCTAGCCTGTATTCTGTCTCTGGCATATGTGAAGACATATGTAGAAACATGTATGGTCTCTGCAGACATGTTTTTTGGAATCTTTCAAAATAAAACTGAGAAGGTAAATAATACAGGACACACAATACTAAATAAGAATATGTGGAGTGTGGAAAGACAAGTACAGGACTGACCTTTTCTATAAGTGTTCGGGTGCAACATACCTAGTTGCATAGTTCTGTCATTTCTTAGGTAACTGATACTTTAAATCTATTGCATCTTTGCCTCCTTGTTCTTAGTCTTGACTTTCCTTTGAGAAAGTCAAGGGACTACTAATTGATGTTATACCTTGTCTGGAAATAACCTTCTCTTCCTGTGAAGTCCTTTACTCCTGTCTCTTCTTCTCTTGGGACTTTTCTATACTTGATATTCATTATGACTTAGTTTCAGATACTGTGCAAGGAAATAGACTGCATCCAACACCTTTTTTCCCCCTTTCTTTCAGTGCTCTCTGGTGCTTTTGTGGTGGGTTTTTTCTTGTTTCTTTGTTTTTTCAAGGTGATCTCGCTAGCTACAGAATCTAATCAGATCCCCCCCAGTGCAGCTGCTTTATTTACCTGTAAACCCTCAGTTGCTCTAGAATAGCCTGGCTGGAGCCAGTTCATCATTTAAATCCTCATATTTAGTCTGTGTGCATGTGTTTTTTATTTACTATATCTCAATTAATGGGATGTTTCTTATATTAGCATCACTTCAGTTGTTGAGCAGTCATACTTGGGTCAGCCTTGCTGCACTCTTGATAGGAAAGAGTACAATCTGTTTTTAATTCTAGCTACTGTGCATTTTTATACAGGCTGCTATTTGAGTAGCTGTCTGAAGGAAAGGTGATTCAGCTGGGCTATGAGAATGTTGAGGGCAATAACTAGTCTGGGGAAGGTGTCAGCTAAAATACCTGCGTAGAAGGCATACAAGGAACTGTGACCTACAGCACACATACTTTAATGTGTATGTGCTGTTTTCATAATAATAGCATCAATATACTTTTTTCAAACGGAAGAATGCTGCATAACTGATTCTGGGTAGGGACATATGCTGCTCTCTGAGGGAGTTAGTGAACTTTTCGAAAAGCAGAATTTTCCCATCTGTCTCCAAGCCTTCCCGCAGCCTCGCCCCCCCTTTTGTCCTCACAAAAGCTGTGCAAAATATAGCAAATAGCTATCATTATAGGCAGATTCCTCATCAGTCTCCACTGTATCACAAAGTTCAGACAAAGGTCTAATAAAAGAAGCTGTTACGTGTTCTTGATCTGCTGCCTTATTGGTGTAGTCATATTTCTTGGAAAAAGCCCTAAGGAGCAATAGAGGTCCTGGAGCGAGTAGGTTGCACTCAGACTGGAAAGGGAATCTTCCCTTATGCTTCTTGGGAGATATCGTTTAGAATAGTTGCTTAATAATAATAGTTAATTTTCAATCTTGTGGGAATTGATATTTATGTATCAGTAATGGAGAGTGGGGAAAATGAAGAGTTGTAGCTGTACTTTTTGACCTTGTTACCTTCATCTCAATTTAGAAAGTATACGTTTGCATGCTTAGAAACATATTAGTGTCTCATTGTTCTGTAATGCCACTAAATGTGTAAGTAAAGTGTATTTCTGAATTGTATCTTATTTTTGAAAGAAGTTTAGCAGTAAATAAGGGCTGCTTTTCCCTACTACATAGAGCACAGCCAAGTGAGTAACTGCTAATTTGGGAGCTAGGTGCTTTAAGCCCATATGCACGATTGAACGCAAGTCCAATTCCCTCCTGAAGTGGTTTCTGATAGAAATGCAGAAAATTGTTCTCAATCACATTGAAATTCATGAAATAAAAAATTCTTTTTGTTAGAAGTAATGTTTATTTTAATATCAGTATGAGGTATGTTACAGACTAGATCAGGGTTGTATAATACATCTGTTTTGAGGTTAGGAGATTTTCATTAAGTCATGGTTTCATTCTGCTGGATGTATGTTAGAATACTGAGATGTAAAAATAATGTTCAGACGTGGTGTTAACTTTAATAAATAATCCCACTGTTTGCATACCACTTCAGTTTTTATTGTCAGAAGTAGTTCAGCAGAGTTCTCATTGTCTGCATTTTCTGGCCAGTTTCAAGTAAAACATCACCTGAAGCAGACACCTGACAGACTAATGGAGATATAGTACAAACAGGGAGGGAAAGCAGCTTGACAAATTTCCTTGGTTGTACTTGGGAAAAATTGATAAAAGGATACCAAATGATGATTTGCTTTGTATATTACAAGAATCAGTATTTGGAGCGTACCTTCTTGTACTTGCCATTTTCTGGGCTATATCTGGTTCTTTGTTTTGGAATTGGGATGACTTTATGTGACCATATGTACAATTTAAATAGTGTAATCTTCCTTGTTTTAAAAGGTCATGGACCAGAGCATTCTTCAAAAAAAAGTGTTAGATACTGCTGATTATTAAATCCTCCAGCTGATCTGCCTTCTATATGTTGTTCTCCCTTTTCTTCCTGTCCTTCCCCAATGTGTATTAAAGAGAAATACTACTGGAGAAAGTGTGATTCCAAGTGAAAATGTAGGAATGTATCCTTTGTCTCCATTAAAGTTTTCATGCTTTACTTGTTCATTTACAGCTCATTGTAACTTGGATCTCTCAACTAATGTTACTCATGAATACAGGTGTTCATTGCATAACTAGATAATTCTTTTAGTTCCAGGAAAACTACTACTTGTTGAGATTGGATGGATGGCTCTGTCTCTAAGCATGGAATAAAGTTTAAAGATCATGTTATTCATAGGAAAATGTACCGTGAAATTTGATACCTTGGTGTTAGGGAGTGTTTTTCTGAGTTTGAAAAAAAGCATTCTTGAATTAAAGCATTCAGATTTATGACTTGTGTGCAGCATGACCTAAACAGTTGTTCAATAAATTAAGAGCTGCCATTTCCAAAATAAATACTAACATTCCCTCCTAAAGATGTTTTAATGATAACCCTTTCAAATAAGACTTTATATGATGCTTGTGTGGAAATAAAGTACAGATGTGTGGTAATTATTTGAAGGTATGGGAGTAACAGTTTCATTTCTCTTTTCAGTATGATGCTGTTCCAATCCAGTCTAGTGTGGTGTTATGCTCCTGTTCATCCCCATCAATGGTGAGGAACCAAGCAGATACCAGCACTCCATCTGTCATTTCCACCTGTGGCAGCAGACAGGGATCTAACATGGAGGGCACTGCAGCTGAATCAAGATCTAGTTCAAACTCCTTGCAGCAACATACAGGACAGCAGCCTTCACAGCCTCGAAAGAAACGACCTGATGACTTCAAATTTGGGAAAATTCTGGGTGAAGGATCTTTTTCAACGGTAACTTTACTTTATCTAAGATATTTGGCACTTCTTACAAAAACTTCAAAATTTGTTGTGCAAGTAATATTGCTGAGATTTAAATCTGGAGAGAACAGCTTGAAGAGTGAATGAGTGGGACATAGTGCTTTTAAGTTTAACTATTAAAATTAAGTGTTGCAATAAATATGGGTGATGATTTTTTTTCAAGTACCTTTTAAACTCATCAGAAGTTCCATTGTATCCTGATGTCTTGATGCTTGGATTTTTAGGAGACATTGCTTTCTAATGTAAGTTTGATAGCATAATGGGTTATGTTAAACTTTATGACATAAAGGATTGGAACTGGGCTAGGAGTTTGTCATGGTAAGAACTTTCATGGCATCGCACAAGAATGAATTACTTAAGTGTTATCTTAAAGAACCTATAAAGCAGTTAATACTTTCATTTGATGTTTTTGTAGTTGCCCCATTGTAAGACAATAAGTAATATTTCTGTATCTTTTTCACATCTTTTTCGCATGTCATTTGTTGTATATACCTTTTGGTTGTTGATCTCTAAATGTTGGGCTTTTCTGGTTCTTCCTATACAATCTACTGTGTTGTTTAGGAAGCAGGCCTCTAGTAGTTGTCAAGAGTAATTTGTACTTAAATACACAGTTCGCGACTTGCAGGTTTCCCTAAAGAATCCAAGAGCTGCTGCCTCTTGGGTATACCAGAACACTCTGCTTCAGTGAGACACTTAATTTCTGCTTGTGGTCTCTGAAAGTTAGTACCGTGTTCCTTGTAAATAGAGAAATTCATAGGGCCTAGCCCAGACTCTGAATAAACTTCTGTTCCAGCATTCTGCTACCTGTTCACTGGTAGATGGTTTTTTTTGGTCCCAAGTCTAGGTAGCTCAAATGCATTTAGGTGGGCAGCAGAAGAAAGACTGAATACCATGAAAATGTTAATCCCTACGTAGCCTTAGTCTTTTGAGTTTTACAAGCAGAATTTCAGTTACCATAATCATCTGGGCCTCAGATGGTGCTAGAGAAGGCATGTTCGGGAGTTAATTCTTACTGCCTGTCACCTCCTCTGTCAACCTTAGCAGTTCTGGTCCGTTATTGCAGTGCTATGACTTTAGAAACTGATCAATAGTTTTAAGGATGCCTTTCATAATGATCAGGCTCCACAGGAGATGCTTGCTTATGTCCTTTCCCTGGGAACAGGTTACAGGCTGTTGCTGGAGAGGACTTAACAGACTTGCTTATTATTATTTAAAAAAAAAGTAATGTCCAGTTCTGTCTTCAGCAACTAATTGATTTTTTTAATTTAAAAACTTTAAGCTCAGGATAATGACTGTAGCCTTCAACCTATAGACTGCATCCTTCAAGAAGGAAACTTGGTTGCTGCTCTTATAGAATCACAGAAGGGTTGAGGTTGCAAGGGACCTCTGGAGGTGATCTCATCCAACCCCCCTGCTCAAGCAGGACCACTTAGAGCCGTTGCCCAGGACCGTGTCTGGACAGCTTTCAAGTATCTCCAAGGATGGAGATTCCACAACCTCTCTGGGCAACCTGTGCCGGTTGTTGGTCACCCTCACAGTAAAAAAGCATTTTCTGATGTTCAAATGGAATCTCCTGTGTTTCAGTTTGACCTGCTGCTGAAAAGAGCCTGACTCCATCTTCTTTACGTTTCCCCTTCAGATATTTTATATACATTGGTGAGATTTACCCTGAGCCTTTTCTTCTCTAGGCTGAACAATCCCATCTCTCTCAGCCTTTCCTCAAATGAGAGATTCTTCACTCTATTAATAATCTTAGTGGTCCTTCTCTGGGCTCTCTGCAGTAGCTCCGTGTCTCTGTGTTAATGAGGAGCCCAGAACTGGACACAGTACTCCAGGTGTGATCTTACTAGTGCTGAATAGGGGGGAAGGATCACCTCCATCAACATACTGGCAACATTTCTCCTAATGCAGCCCAGGATACTGTTTGCCTTCTTTGCGGCAAGGGCCCATTGCTGTCTCATGTTCAGATTGGTGTCTGCCAGGACCCCTGGGTCCTCTTCTGCAAAGCTGATTTCCAGCCCATCAGCCCCCAGCATATACTGGTTCATGAGATTATTGTTTGCCAGGAGGAGGAGTTCGTCATTTAAAAAAGGGAACTGCATGAGATTTCTTCCTGCCCATTTCTCCAGTCTGTTGAGGTCCCTCTGGATGGCAGCACAACCCTCTGATGTATCAACATCAGAGCTCTTGGTCTGTGGGGCATGTATCTTCACATTGTTATCAAAACATCTTGTTAAAAAGCATATGCTTTGTTCTTCATAGAATCATAGAATGGTTTGGGTTGGAAGGGACCTTAAAGATCATCTAGTTCCAACCCCCCTGCCATGAGCAGGGACACCTTCCACTAGACCAGGTTGCTCAAAGCCCCATCCAACCTGGCCTTGAACACTTCCAGGGATGCGGCATCCACAGCTCCTCTGGGCAATCTGTCCCAGTGCCTCACCACCCTCATAGCAAAGAATTTCTTTCTTATATCTGATCTAAATTTACCCTCTTCCTTATTAAACATGGTTGTAGATTCAGATCTGATTGTACTCCCCAAGATCTTCACCAATATTCTAACTGAAAAGTGTTCATCTCAAAAAGCAGGGGCCTTCATATTACCATGCCTCCAATGACAGCTTCAGATTTAAAAAAAAAAAAAAAAATTACTCAGGGTCGTAATGAATATATTCCGTTTTCTTGGACTTCAAGCTACCACAAACTCTACCTGGTACCAGTGCTGTATTTCAAATTTAGCAGAGATGCATGTGGTCTGGCCTCAGGGGATTTTTCTTCAGAGCATTCTGCAATTTTGTGGGACCTTATTCTGCAGCTGTAATTGTTCTTGGACCCATGCTTGATATTAACAGATACACAAATGCAGGGCCTTCTAGTTGTTGCTCTGCTCTTTTAAAGTAATGAAAATCTACTTGCTTTGTAGACAGCTTCAAGCTCCTTTCAGAATATCATCTGTTATGTGGTGGCAGAATTATAATTCTCATGTTTGGGTAGGCATGTTGTCCTACTCACCTCTTTCTATATGGCTGGTACATATCCTCCCCCCCTGCCCACTTACATGTTCTGTGAATGTTTTTGGTTTTGTGGGTTTTTTTAAGCTATCTAAGTTCTAATTCCTTTCTACGGAATTTATATTCCTTACTGATATTACTTCTTCTGATAGGGTGGATAAGATTCAGGTCCCTGATAGCAGAGACATCGGATTAACATGTACCTCTGTGGGTTTTTTCTTTTTTTTTTGTGATTTTACTGGTTTTTGTGGATTATTAGTTAGGAGGAAATTAGGATATATGGTATACTCAGATTTGTTCAGTGAGGAAGGGACTTCAGGGTACCCAAGTACTCATGATAGGAGGTAAATACTCAATCCTGTGTACTTAGAACACAGCTGCTCAATATCAATGTATAAGTATGTGGGTAGTACATCTGAAATCTAATGGGAAAAAAATTGATACGATGCGGAACTGGAGGAGAGTCAGTCTTTGGAGCTATACGGCTTAATTCAACTTTGAGAGTTATTAGCCAAGATGTGTTTTCACCTGTGTCAGTTGGTCACTTCTGCCATCTGACTATGGACTCTGTGTGTGGATATGTAGGCAAGATTGCCTATTGGATTTTTGTTTTACTGATGGCACTGAATTGTTTTATGAAAACATAAAAGTATCAATTTCCAAAATGCAGAAAGTTAGCACTATATATCTGGGTATTTATTTAACAACTGACTATTAAAGTGACCTGCTTTCGGTAGCTTTAATGGTAGACTTGATTGACAAAACCTGATGAAACAAAGATTAGAAAAGTTAAGAACATTTTCATTTGATTGCACAGCTTTAAAAAATGTTACCTGTGTACACAGAAGGGTCTCAAATTCCTTATGCAGAGGTGCAACTTGTTGTTTCTAGTGGAAATTTTCATTGATCAAATGCTGTGAACTTCAGTGTGTTTGTAGAAGATGAAGTTTTTTAGAAAATTAAAGGTGCCTCTTACTACTGAACTGAGGTTTTAATTTTCTAATACTGAAAGAGTGCAACTGCATGCACTTCTTTCACCTGAAAAAGTGCCTTATTTAGAAGCTTTTTTCCTACATGCCTAACATTTAGTATCTGTTATATGTAGTAATATTTCGGAGTACTGTTACAACTGATTTTGCAAGGCATTAGGATATAATGAGAAGTGGATTAGAAGCAAGCTTGGTGCAGTGATTTAAAAAAAAAAAAGTAGAATGCTGAGATTCTAGCAAGGTATTGGAATTGATATAAACTTAAAATGAGAAAAACCCAAACTGTATTCATCTATTGTTACAAGGTTATTGCTCGGATTCATCCAAGAGGACTTTTCAGATTGTCTTAAAAGTTGCCTTTTAGACAAGTTCTTTCTTGAAGACGAGCTTTAATTTGTGTTCCTCCAAAAGCTTTTCTCTTTAAAAATGTAGAATTGCTTGCCTGAAACTTTATTCCTTGCTTCTACTAACTGGAAATCTCTCATTCCCTTTTTAAATCTTTTTCCTTACAAACTGTAAATAGTTGAAAGCTCTGTCTCACTTCTTACTTTTGATCTTTCAGATAAAATTTATCTTACGATCTTTGCCATTTATGTTAAGAAAAAGTACTGTGACAGTTAGATTTTTTTAATAAATATTCCTTAGTGCACTTGTTGCTTCCCCCCGCCCCTTAAGACTATTTGGCAACTTACTGTGACTCATGTAACAATCTTCAGAATTCTGCTGGGAAAAAAAAGTAAATCAGTGATTGCCCAGTCAGGTGTGCAAGTCTTTTAGCAAAAGAAGTGGTGTTATGCTGAACTGAATTTCTGCAGAGGTCTTGCTGAAGCCAGCATAATATGGACACGTGCTTAAATATTTTGCTGATTGTAGTTGTGATAGCTTATTTTGGTCAATCAGTGTCCTAAATAACTACTGGAAGATCAAAATCAATGTTAAGTGTATGTCTGTAATGAATGGTTACAATATATTTCCTCTCCTCTGGCAACAGGTTGTCTTGGCTCGAGAATTGGCAAGTTCTAGAGAATATGCCAGTAAGTATTGACTCCTTGAACGTGAACTTTTAAAAAATACAATATCAATGTAATCCTGTTACAAAACACCTGTTCAGAAGACAGAATTAGTGGTTTTATGATAATTTTATCTAACAAAAAAAAACCCCAAACAAATTACTTAGATGGACTTCATTTGGTTGTACCTCCTGCATTTTCACTCTGTCTCTTTTTCATTAAGTTAAAATTCTAGAAAAACGTCATATCATAAAAGAAAACAAGGTGCCATATGTGACACGAGAGAGAGATGTAATGTCCCGCCTGGATCACCCTTTTTTTGTGAAACTCTACTTCACCTTTCAGGATGATGAAAAGCTATGTATCCTTTGTGTTTTAAAACTTGCTGTAACGCCTTCTTAAAAGTAACAGTCCCTAGTTCTGGTTCCTTTGAAACATTGTCTAACAGGAATGATGAAAAAAAACTTAAGGTATTTAAAATACCTTAATGTTTGCGATGCAATATTTGCAGTCATGCTTTTAATAGAAATTAAGCAAATGGAATGAGTGTGCCCCTTCAAAGAGAAGAGTGGGTGACTTGCGGGACAGGGGAGATGAATAAAACGGTATTTATATTGTCCGTGTGGTAAATGCTGAAGGGCGACTTGCAACAATCTAAGTTTAAAAAAATGAAAAAGCAGGGGTATGTATGAGAAATGTCTTAGAAATGTTTTATTTCTGATATATACAGTAAAAGACCACAATTCCTGTGTTTAAAATAGGGGTAGCCAGTTATGTTTACTGCTATTTCTTATTTGAACAATTAGATCTATTAAAATTTTTCGTATGTAAAAGTGCTTACAGAATAATCTGAACGATAGAAAGCTGAAACTCTTCAGTTTGGGCCACTGTTTCCCAAGTTACCTCTCTAGCAGTAATTGCAAAGTGCAGTTTCATCTTGAAAGCTTATTGGTTTGCAGTTGGCGCTTTTTTTCTTGTGAAGAAAATGTTAATCATGTGAATTTCCTCCTGAACTTCCTGCTTTGAATTGGCTGTGCCAAGGGTAAAAGGATAGATCAGTCTGTTTCTGGGGTCAGTAAGTAGTTGTGTTTTTCAGAGGCTGCTAGCAGTGCTAACAGTGTGTGTGTACATACATACGTATGTACACGCATGCATTAACAGAACTTACAAGGGCTCTCTTTTGTAATGTAAACATTTGCTCATTGAACACTGGGCTGACTTTGGAACTTTCCAGATGATGGGGCAATTTTAAACTTAGGTTGAATGCTCGTTATGACTATAAATAGTTCTCTTTGAGGGCAACTATGTATACAGTTTAAATGAATTCTTCAGGTGACTGGAAAAATGGCAAATTTAGCTGTTTATGCAGTTTTTGCTATGCCAAGAAATTGGGACCTGTGTCCTAGGTTGTTAATATATTTAAGAAATTGTTTTGGGTTGCTACCATGTAAAGTTTCAAATGAACCAACTTTGCTTCTTCCTTGTTGTTCATGTATTTTTAGTATTATTCTTGTCTTTGGAATGAGGTGTGGGGACTTTTGTTCTAGCATGGTTTAGTGGTAGACCTTAACTATACTTACATTCAGATTTTGGGCTTAGCTATGCCAAAAATGGAGAGCTGCTAAAGTATATACGCAAAATTGGCTCATTTGATGAGACTTGTACCAGGTTTTACACCGCTGAAATTGTATCAGCCCTGGAATATTTGCATGGGAAAGGAATAATTCACAGGTAATACAAAGTTGAGACCAACATGCATTTGATTATGCACAAGGTGTTTTTTCTAGAAATGTTCTTTGTGAAGTCCAAAGCAAACGTGAATTTTGTGGAAAGCTAATGAGAGCATAATAGCATTTCATTAGCATTAGTACTGTGTTAACGTAGGGAGCTAAACAAAGAAAACTTTAGGAGGAGAGCCAATCTCTGTTATTAGACCAACTGTTCTAGTGGGAAAAAGTAAGAAAACTTTTTAGCCGAAAACTAATGTTACCAAAAGCTTGTCTTTTTCAAGCTTGATCAATTGGTCTAAAAATAGAAACTGACTTTTTGTTTAACTAAATTTTCTTTTTCTGGGGTGTTATGTACCAAAAGTAACTAGAATTCTGCTAGTGTGTGAATTAGTGTGCAGCATGTCATCAAGAAAAGTAAAATTAACGTATGTCAGTTTTCACTGAGTGAGCAATTTCTACAAAGCTGAACAATAACTAGGTAAATGGTGAAATTTAGCAAAGTTTTTAATAGGACCTTCACAGTTGTTCTTGATGTAATTATATTGTCTGGATAAGCATGTTTTGTCATTCATGGTTATTAAACAAATTAAAGCTGTAAGTGTGAGAAATCTGAGCCACAGAACTTCTTTTCGGGTAAGAAATCTATTGTGTCTGTAGGTTCCCAAGTGGTTGTTCATGGAACAGTAGATGCTAGTTGGCAAAAAGCTGGCTGACTATAATTCTGATAGCATTATTACTTCTGTCAGTTATATTTAAAAAGACAAAGTATTTTCCTAATACTTTTCTGTGAAATAATTGGGAATAGAATCTAAGGGGGCTGGATGTGGAGAGTACTAAAAGTGTAAAATTTTCTACGGGGGGGGGGGGGGGGGGCGGGGGGCTTAATTATAGAGTCCATGTGTTAGGCTGGGAGAATGCTTATAAAATCAATATAGCATGATTGTCAGTATTACTAAGCCTATATTGGAAATCCTGTATTATAAAAGAGCTGCTTTATATTTGTCTTCATATGACGCCCACTATGAGAAGCTCAAGAGAAAACAGTGGAATTGTGCAATTAGAGAACTTTATACTAAGTTTATTTTAAGTCCATAGCATTAGCAGTGCCTGAAAGCTCTTGGGATTTTCTGCTGCCTAAAGAAATATGACATGAGATAGAACCACTTTAAGATGCCAGGCTACTCTGGAAAAGTTACTACAGTTATATATCTCTCTATGTATCTAGATATATAGCTATATCCTAGATCCATAATATAATATCAATATATAATATAGGTATATGATATATTATATAAACTGTATGTATAGAGTACAATATATATACATACATATGTATATGTAAAAAAACCCACACAAAACTGTTAAAAAGGTCCATTCCATTCATGTACTTTCTACTTCTCTCTGAGAATAGTTACAGGAAAACGAACAGGATTTTTATGGCTTGTGTGTCGTAATTACTTCATTCCAGTTGCTCCTTGTGCTAGTCCACAGATGTTAAACTGTACAACTACACAACCCATGCTTTTCAATAACAGGGAACTGTAATCTGAGGAAAATAAAGCTGCACAGTGGTTGATGGAAACAGCTTTGAATTTGCACTGATCTTTCTTACCAGTCAACCAAAACAACTCCCATGCTTCTAGATTTCTTTATGAGCATCCACAGATACTTCTTAGGAGGAAGGGATGTTGTTAGTTCTTGTCAACTGAGGAAACTTGGTGCAAAGTAAATAATATCATAACAGCGTAACCCAATGCTGTTTTTTGTTGTTGCTAATGAACCTCTCAACATCTAACTCTATATTGCTATATATTGTGTGTGTGGTTTATTCAGAATCAGAGGCAGTGTCCATACAAATGGTACGCATGCATTTGAAATACAGATTATACGTGGATTTGTATGTGACAAATGTAAACATGCCATTCTTAGAGTGGAGGTGGTTTACAGTTCTTATCTGTTCTGGACATTTAGCTGGGGGCGGGGCGTTGCCATTGTTTGACTAACTGAGGTTTTGCACTGAGTAAACAGGCCTAGAAGATCTTACTGCCATATCAATCTGTCAGATGTTATTTAAATTAAGGCTTGGGAGTGAAGGGGTTTTTTTGTTGGGGGTTTTTTCCATTTTTGTTGAACAAGTGAGTTGTGCAATAGCTTAGTTTTGAGATTATTCATTACTTCAGGTCTTTTTAGAAAAAATGTTAATTAATGGGCTTTTCAAAATCTGTTAGCAGTCTGCATGTTGACAGCTACAAGTTAGAAGAAAGTTGACACAACAAGGTTTATAGAATGTCTGCATTACTTATGATAGTATTATGTACATAAGTCACTAGACAGTTTTGCAACTTTAATTTCTGTGCTCTTTAAATATAAAAATCTGCCTTTTCCAGGGACCTTAAGCCAGAGAACATCTTGCTAAATGAAGATATGCACATTCAAATAACAGACTTTGGAACAGCAAAAGTATTATCTGCAGATAGCAGACAAGGTATGACATTATGTACTTTGTCATGTGACGCAGATAACTATAGCAAGTGGTCCTTTGAAAATGTATGTATGTTGTGTTTACCAAATGGTAACCTTCAAATATCATTACATCTTACTTAACAAAATCACTGAGAGATCTTGAAACTGTTTTGACTGTCACTGCTTAGATTATGTCAGAAGAGGTAATATTTGATGTAGTGGTATAGCCAGCTAGATCACCAAATATAGTGGGAAGCTAAACTGTTTCAAATTATTTTTCATTTGCAAGACAAGAATACAAACAAATAGTTACTGTGGCTCAGCTGAAACAGTAAGTTTTTACTCTGCTTATGTATTTAACCCCGGTGACTATCAGAGTTGCTCAAATGTGAAGGTTATAGGATTCTTGTGTCACTAGTTGCTTAGTATTAACCTGTGAATCAATGATGCTGCAAACAATGCCTGGAAAAAGCACTAGGCTGAACTGAATTTGATAAATTTAATTTTTTACTTGAATGTATTAAGCTTGTGTTGGTAGATTTTATACCTAACAGTACCTAGCTGCTTGAACCAAATAGGTATCACTGAGAGAGATTGTTTTGTCTGTTCCAAGCACAGGTTTTGTGAATGGGTAGAGAAATGAAATTCCTGTGGGTTCTTTGTAGCATTACATAACTTGCAATACATTGCCTTTGGGTTTTTTTAATTGGGTGGGGGCAGGGGGGTAGAAGGGGGAGGTTGTCTTCTCTATAAGTATGTATTTGCTTATTTCTTTCAATTTTCTTACCAGCACGAGCAAACTCATTTGTAGGGACGGCACAGTATGTTTCTCCAGAACTGCTGACAGAGAAATCTGCCTGTAAAAGGTGAGGACTCTGATGTAATTCAGAACTTTACTGACTCTGTCAGGATACTATCAGATGGGGGGGAGGGGATAAATGAAGCAAGCAAGCTTAGTATTTCAAAGAAACAAGATGCTTGAGTATAAAGGTTTTTTTTTTTAAGAGAGTGAAATATCTTTTCTTAACAAGTATTGCTTCTTGTCTGAGTGCTGGTTTCCTCAGTTCATCTACCTTCTGGAGTTCTACAGACAGGATTAGGTGTTGTCAGGAGAAGGTGATGTGTAGTGGGAAGTAGGATTTCTCTTACCCATAAATCAGAAAATTTTTTTCTGTTATCCAAGTAATATAATTATTTTAATTCTGTTTTATATAAGCTTGCTCTAATATGGTAATTCCTGCGGTAAAAGCAACAGAATGTCACATTCTGTCGGTTCGGGGAAAGGTTACAGCTTTCTTTGACTTGTATTTAGATCAACTTACAGTTATCTTTGCTAAGCTCTGCTTGGGGTTTGCAATGGTTTAAAGCTCATCTCTGTTCCCGATATGAGTGGTACCCTTAAGAAATTTCTTAGCTCATTTAAATTGGTTCTTGATGGTAACATACAGGCTGTTGTAGATCTATTTTATTACAATGATGGAAGAATAATCAAAGTAATCACTGACAAATCATAGGGAAAAGAGATCTCTCATATGAATAACTGTGGTAATTTGTGCTATCATTTTTAAATGCATTTCTATCATTTTTAAAATGATAGAAATACAGTTAGACTTTCCATTTTTGCTTCTAGTAAAGAGGTTTTGACTGGTTTGGCGAATGGAAAGACTTCATCAGCCTATCATCTCCTTTTAGAAGTTACATAATGCTTCATCTTTACAGAAGACTCTTAATTTGAGTAGTTTTGAGTCTTTGTTAGTATTTTAGTCTTTCATGAGGATTTCTAAGCTTTAATCAAATCTATGTATAGTTTACCTTGAGGTAAAATAAGTTAAAGATACTTTCAGGCCAACACACTAGAACTTAAGACTTTCCCTCACCAATGTACCATATAGCCTGCCTTTTTGTTTGTGTCTTAAGAAAAGCTTTAACTGAAAAAGCTGTGTTGTGACTTTTTTTTGCATAAAATATTTAGAGAAAGGATTTTAATTTTGAAGGAGCATATATTGCATTAAGTTGGATGCATCTTTGAATTGTGGTAGTGGATAATAAGTATTCATTTTAGTCTCATTACATACCCATTAATTATTTTGACTGAGTGTTCAGCTGTCTTGCACAACTTACTACTGCTTGTAGTCAGTTGTTATGGGATTGTTACTGTATACTTTTTTTTTTCTCCGAAAGTTATGTTGCTAGCCTACTTTCCTGTGAAGGAATGAAGTGAAAATAGTGTGGAAATTATGCTAGGCAGGTTTGCCTAACCTGCAGAAGCTTAAGACTTTTTTTAAAATTACAGTTTAAAGACTTCTTATAGGAAAACATACTATATGGTTTTTTTTTCTTTCTTTTGAAGCTCTGACCTCTGGGCTCTGGGATGTATAATATATCAGCTTGTAGCTGGATTGCCTCCATTTAGAGCTGGGTAAGAGATTTAAGCTAATTCTTTACATGGGAATCATAAATATATTGACTTGGTTTTGGCTTTTACCTTACTACCAGTTCTGAAATACAACTTTTCATGGTGCGGTGTTGGTGTTAATGTCATGTCTGCTTTTATTTGTCCTTTCTGATGTCATGAAGATGCTTAGACAGCTATAACTAGAGTTCCTGAGAGAGATTCCTTAATTTATCCTAGGATTTCACATGTAATTTATACTATAAAGGTAACTATGCCTACATGAAGAGGGTATGAGGCACAGGCACCTCTGTATTGAGCCATTTGAACTTTTCTTGTTATTATTCAAGTATCTGGTGCTTACAGGATCATAGATACTTGGAAGACCACTCTACCTTAGAAAGTTTTATGGGAATGTGTAGATTTCCCGTTTTAATATTTGTCCAGGTTATGCACTGTTAAGGTGAAAGAACCATAGAGAACTAATAACAAGAGCTAATATTTTTCTCTTTTGCAGAAATGAATATCTTATATTCCAGAAGATAATAAAGTTGGAATATGACTTTCCAGAAAAATTTTTTCCCAAGGCAAAAGACCTTGTTGAAAAGCTATTGGTAAATATTTGCTGCTGTTAAATGATTTGATGACATTAGAAACATTCAGCTTATGTAGTTCTTTTTTCCTGAAGTTTCTATGCACTCTGTTGCAAACCTTATAATAAGAACAACTGTGAGCATTATTGACTGCATAGGGGAGTGTCTTGAAAATCAACATCCATTATTAAACAGCACTTAGATTATTTTTTTAAAATCTGAATTCTAAAGTGTGGACAAGGAATGTCTCTCAGTGAAATGGAAGCAAATGGTTCTAAATACTGTGCATTACACACAGAAGTTAAGATTCAAATACTTAGGTTTACATAGTTCTCAGATTAGTTCTTGCTGAGTTGTAAAATGAATTGTTTAGTTGAAAACAGTGTTCTATACATCACGGGGAGATACATTCATTACAATGTAAATCAACTGACCTTGCATTTTAGCATGTACTTACCTTGCACTTAATGCATGTCTCAATAGTATCAGCCAAAGAATTACTCTGCATGTGAATGTTTGACAGATAGGAAGAAAAAATAGTTCTGTCTCATCAGTGAGATATAGCCATGACACTAAAAGGAATATGCAGAGAACGTTTTGGGTGGTATAAGCTTTTTGAAGTTCCATAGTCTAGCATATTAGCATGGGGCGGAGGGCGAGGAGGTAACTGTGTCTTATGTTTGTGGATAATGATGATGAGTGCAACCATTGTAAGGGGCCTAGCAGCATGTTCCTGTGTCCAGGCCAGCTTTATGGCCAAGCCAGTGCCTGCTGAATGGTAAGGTCCAGGTTGCGTCAACATCCTGAGAACTGTGCGTTTTAGGGTGCTTGAGAGGTTGATGTTTGACACCAACAATAGCTTCCACAGCTTCTTGCATCACTAGAATGTGATGCTGGGCTATACTTAAATGAGCTATGCTCCATCAGGCCTTCTCTGTATGTTTGCTTGGTTTTGTTTCTGTCTTATGAAGAAACAAAGCCAAAAAATTGTGTGGGCCCAAAGGAGCACTCCTTTCTCTAGATCTGTGAGCGGGTCTAATACAAAATGTTGCTGATGATGTACTGCAAATAACATCTTGTATTGTAAGCAGTCTCCTTATATTCTAGATATGTGTGCTTAGGGCAGTGAGACCAACTGGTTTTAAGTTTTCGCATGCCGCTGTGCATATGTGAATGGTGCTCACCCCTTCCTTGTCGTTCTTTTATGCATGTTAACTTAATTGTAATTTGCTCAGGTTCTAGATGCGACCAACAGATTAGGTTGTGAAGAAATGGGAGGATATGGACCTCTTAAGGCTCACGCCTTCTTTGAATCCATTGTGTGGGAGAACCTACATCTTCAGACACCCCCAAAACTTACAGCGTATTTACCTGCTATGTCAGAGGATGATGAAGACTGTTATGGAAATGTATGTTTGTCTATTGCTATATTCAGGTCTGATGGAAAAACCTCTGAGACTTTCATTAAAGCATAATTATTGCATATTAAATATTTTTATTGAAACTACTGATTAGTTATATTTTAATGAAGACTCAATTAATAAGAATCTAATATAAAATTGCTGGTTAAAATTTGAACTAATCCGTGTTTTTTCTTCTGATGAAGTGAGTGTTTGGAAAAAATAGTGGTTGGCTTGCTTTTGACCAAGCATACTTTTTTGGATAAGTGCCTGTTAATCTATAGAGAGTAGGCTGTCTTTTTGCCCAAAAGCATAATAAACAAAAGCATGCTTAAATTAAAAGCCGCAGTTTAGTGCAAAATAAGCTTTTTAATCAAAGAAATTTCTTCATTTTGTTTCCTCCTTTAGTATGACAATCTTCTGAGTCAGTTTGGTTGCATGCAAGTTTCTGGTTCTGCCTCTTCCCATTCACTGTCTGCTCCAGAGACAAGTACACCACAGACATCAGGAGGAAATATTGAACAGTATATTCATGATCTTGACAACAATTCCTTTGAGCTGGACTTACAGTTTTCTGAAGATGAAAAGAGGTTACTTCTGGCAAAACAAGCTGGTGGAAATCCCTGGTAAGATCTTTGAATGTAGCTCATCTGTTGCTTGCACAGCAGTAAGGAATCAAGACAAATAAGTATTCTGATATCTTAATATCTTCAAGCAAACAATTAGGAACTAGGTTTTTTTACTTCTATTTTTAAAGCAATAGTAGCAAAAACCTAATACTATGTTTCTAAAATTTACAAGGTCTAGAAGACGTTGTGGAGTATGGTTATAAGACAGGCAGAAATGACGGTATACTGGTGCTGAGAAGTCTTCCTTCTACAGGGTCCTAGAACTAGAAAAGGTTCCTTCTTTGTTACAGTTACCATAAGATTTTTTTTTTTGTATGATAATATTCTGTTGGTATCTAACCAAAATACCTCCAGACGGTGTACTTATTAGCATTTATCTTCACTCTTGAGAGGAGTTTCTTATTTGTGATTTCCACCTCCCCTGTCAGATTTTAGAAAAAACTCTTTGGCGTGGAAAGAGGAAGAGTTCAAAACTCATCTAGTAAAGTTGTTCAGGACTCTCTGGCAGAAAAGGAGACACTAGGGAGAGACATGGAAAATTGCTTTATAATAATAATAATAAAAGCTGTTTCTGTGGAAGAATTACTTCTGGAGTAATAGTTATTTTTCTTTTTTTTAAGGCATCAGTTCGTAGAAAATAACTTAATCCTAAAAATGGGTCCAGTGGACAAAAGAAAGGTAAGGGCTTTTCTTAATTCCCTGTAACAAGATTCAGCTGTCACATTTTTACACAGCTGCAGCATAGATAAGGAACGTGTTCTAGAGCTTCCTTGTTTAACTTATTTGTGTCAAATTATTTTGTTTATTTTTTAAAAAGTAGAGTTTTCTTGTTAATAGATTGTTTTTTCTTAATTTAGCGGTGTGTTCTTCATTTTTGGAAAGGACTAAAAGTAAATGTGCTATCGATGCTTTCATTTCAAGACTGTGTAAACAAGTTTTTGTTCCCTCTCCTCCTCCCAATCTGATATAGCCCACTAAATGCTTTGTCTTGATGCATGTCTGCATGTGGATCGAGTCACAAATATTGGAAAATAAAATACAAGCCCATATTGTCCTAAACTGTGGTGTTTTTCCTGAATCTGACTAGTGCCTTGAACAGCTTTAGGTATTAACTTTAACATGGTACAGATGAGCAACGATAGTCTGTGTCAGTTTTACAGGAATGTAGCTTCTCTTTCATCTAAGTTACTACCTGCTTGTTCCTAATTTTCTCCACAAAATCATGAGTATTGATTTCTGTGCTGGAATCTTTGACAAATAGATTTTGCTTCACTCTGTACAGCTAGTTGTTTTATGTTTTGTTAGAACTTGAAGATGCTTTCTTAAAACAGTACTTGTGTTTTACCATGTAGTAGGAATGCACTGCAACCCCTTAAAAAAGGAGTGAGGTCAAATAGATAAAGCAAAAGGAAAAAAAAGTCCACCAAACTCAAACGTACTATCCTATCACTGAGCTGTTTTAATTCTACCTCTGTTGTTAAATTCGGAGATCTACACACTTACATTTTCTTTCCTCATGCTTTTTTTTGCATTGCTGCTTCTGATGTTCTTGTTAGGGATTGTTTGCACGTCGGCGCCAATTGCTGCTCACAGAAGGGCCCCACCTGTATTATGTGGATCCTGTCAACAAAGTTCTAAAAGGAGAAATTCCATGGTCTTTAGAGTTGCGGCCAGAAGCCAAGAATTTTAAGACATTTTTTGTTCACACAGTAAGTGATTTTCTTAAATTTCTTTGTAAGTTGCACTAATGTCCTTGGACAATTATTTTAAGTTGTTAACATAAATTTTTCTGGAGAAAATATAATTCCTTAAATACAAGTCTTGATAGCCTTAATTTTAAAAAACCACAAACCCAACCACCCAAAAAAACCAAACAAAACCCCCCAAAAACCCCTGACATACACATTTCCCACAAAAATACAATTGTTTTTTTATTATTATTCATGTGTAAATAAACTGTAAGTGGATTTGGGGATTTGAAGGAAGTTCTTAAGAAGGACTTTTAAAATTTAGCCCTCTTTGTATATAGTGGATCACAAGGAGTGTACCAACAATATAAGACTTGACTGCTTAACATTGAGATGCCAGATGTATGGTTATTCACTAATACATAATGTTACATAATTGTAATTGCATTAACTTTTGGAAAGATTATGAACTGATTCTGAATAATTATTTTATTGGTAGGTGCAGAATAATTACTGCTTTTTTGTTAAACTGTGTTTGGAGTACTCATTTAAAATGTTGTTCACTTATAGCCAAACAGGACATATTACCTGATGGACCCGAGTGGGAATGCTCATAAATGGTGCAAAAAGATACATGAAGTTTGGCGGCACAGATACCACCAGAATGCTGCTAAATAGTAAAGCTCATCCAAAATTTCCCAGTTTCCCTACTTGCTGCTAGAACTCCGTGTGCAGCCGATCAGAGGAATCTTTTCAACCCACCTGTTACCATCTCAAGGGGAAGCATATGTCTGAAATGTTCTGTTTTTTTTTTTTTTTAAAAAGGAAAAAAAAGAAAAGCAAAAACCTAATGGAATTCAGGGTCGCTTTGCTCGCTCTTTGTGCTTCTGTTGAGGCTTCCACATGCATATCATTGCAGTGAAGATCTTGCTTTTGTGCACTTCAGCTCAATTTCTGCTGCAGACTAGTGGATAGACCTTGCATTACCAGCTTCACTTAAGATGAGTTAAAACCAATCCACACGCACACATGCCGAATCATGTACCAGCCTTGCATTTTATGGGGCTGGAGTTTTCTGTGACTTTCAGATTATCATTAAACTGTATTTCATCAGGGAGCTTTTATATGCCTCTCCTAAGCACCACCTCTTTGTTTTCTCTTCCTTTCTTCACAGTCCCCCAGCTTATTGGTATATGGCATTTATAGCCAGGTCAGTTGCACCGTTGTGTAATTCCTAATATAGTTCTGGTTGCAGGATTTACGTGGTACTTTAGTAATTATGTGAATGAATCAGATGTATGTGTCTGGCAGACAGGCTCCAATGATACAGGTTGTGAGAGAGTAGAATGCTGAACATGGCACTGAAAGTTTTCTAAAATTGAAATGTTGGCTTCTGAAGCATATAAGATTTTAAACCTTCAATTTAAATTTTAATATGAATCATATGTGTGTTTAATCAAGGGACAATAAACTTACCAGCATGCTTGTAACTAATGCTAACTAAAAAATTAACTAGTTAGTATGGGGGGGGAAAAGGTTACTATTGCACTAGTAAATAGTTTTTCACCTTTTCAGGAGATGAGGGCTAGAAGCTTTCTTTCCAGGGCGTGCATGTATTCTGCATTTTAGTGGGGCCAACCTATTTACCTGGGTAGAGGAGGAAGTGTGAAAGCTTTGTACAATTGATTACTTGATGGTTTTTTGTCTCATTGTATAATGAGATGTACAAATAATCCTATTTTTGGTCTTTGACATATATTTAGCAACTCTGAAAAAAATTTAAGCAATTGAAATATTAGATCCATAAAGTAATCTGGGTAAAAATTCAAAGGAAAATATTGATACAAAGGGGAAAATATATGGTACTTGAGGCATATCTATAAAATGAAAATATTTTTCATATCAATCTCCTTTATCCTCTTCAAATTAAGGCTTTTTTTTGTGGTCAAACATTTCTTGTAACGTTGCAAAGACATAACTTTATGTGCTAAAAACAACTTCCCTAATGATATTTTCAACGTGCCCATGTTCCTGAACCTTGCAGAGAGGAATGACCTAGGTCTGGACAAAGGCATTCCTTCCTTGTTTTAAAAGCAGTATAAACATCACACCTATTTATTTACCTTCTACACATACCATCTCTTTGCATTTTGAGGTCTCTTACTAGGACGTGCTTTTCCTTCCACCAACAAAAGAAATGTTCCACTGCAATGTTGAAAAAACTCATGGGCTACTGTTGTAGAAGCAGTATTTTAAAAGCAGTGGCTTATCAGGATTTCTCAGAAAACACATGAATGTTGGATATTTTGTTGTTGTACAGGGTGAAGGAGATTTATTACTGATCTCTTAAACTGTGTTATGTGGTTGAACTTGATGACAGTTCAGCTTTTCCAGTATCTTTCAGTCTTTAAAGGAGAGTGCAGTTGCCTTTTCTTTTGGAGGAACTACATTCTTGTAGTCTTCTGTTATCCCACCATGTACACAGACTTGACAAAAGTAAATCACTGGCTTACAGTGCCTGGTGTTAGGGGAGCTAAGGTGTACTGTAAATGGCTGAGATGAGAAAGATAGAACACCATTCCCTTTGCATCATGAGAAAATTCATCATGTACAAGGTACATTCTTTGTCACTAAAATTTGAATAGCACAGTGCACCTTCTACCTGTGCCTGTATTAATCCTATAGTTACCATTCTAACCAAGAGGATATGTATTGTAAGTTTGTTGCAGTGCTGTCCATTTGTTCTCTGGCTGTCAAATTCAGCCTGTATGTTGGGTCCACTGGAGGCAACCCTACCACTTCTGGATTTAGTCTTTGGTATAGAGATGTAGACGTATTCCCAACGTTTATATAGGAGAGTTTGGCAGTGATGGAAATTCATGGTGCTACTGCTGTTTGGTGTGACAAAACTTGGTCTTGCATAAAAAGTCTGGCAAAGTTGTTCTGCTAATAGTGAACACCTTAGCTTCATTAGGAGGTGGAATGATCTCCACTGGCTTCTTCACTAGGTGGAAACCTAGGAATGCTTAAAGATTTTTTTTTCTGTAATATTTAGACTTGTAGTCATTTTGCCATAACGAAGTAATTACTCTGCTTTTTCACACCTTGAAAATCCTCTCGGTAGACTTCCGTCCTGCCCACCAAAAGCTTTCAGCCAAAGAAATCTTGATAGCAGTAAGCTATCAAGAAGGTGTCTGGAAGGCTGATGTCTGCATTCTAGTATTCCTTTTTTCTTTTGACAATGCTGTCATTAGAAAACTGTGAGCATCTCTTACAGGCATCCCTCCCCTTAGAACTTAAGTGTTCCAAACCAAGTCTTCCTTAGCTGCTGCTTTTTTGGGAAGGGACTAGAACTTTTCTGGGAGAGATATTTGTCTGTCTTGGACTGTAAGTGAAATCTGTGGTTTTGAAAGATGGCAGGAGAATAGAGTGAGGCAAGACAAAGCAATCACGTGGATTTAAGTATCTTTCACTGGTTTGTCCACTTAAATGTATATTGGCAGGGGCTGCATACTATGAAGGGCTGGTTCCTATTTTAAATGCTTGTAGGTGAAGTGTGATAGCTTCAGATCTTTGTCCTGAAGATCGCTCCTGTGGTTCATGGGAGTCCATGGAATGAAATGTACAAGGGAGGTTCTTCAAAGCTGCAGATAAGCCAGTTAATTTCTCTGCTCTTTATCCAAGGCTTTTCAAAGCACAAAAAGGGTTGTTAGGCACTTGAAGACTCTTCTTCAGGCTCCTCACTGCAAACCTACTGAAAACCCAATCTGTTGATTGATTCATTCAATCTTTTGCATTTTGAACAATTGCCAATCATTTGTAAAGAATCCGGTCAGTAATGCTGTAATTTTGTTTTGCTTGGGATTTGAACTTCAGGAAGGTGTGTTACTGCATCTATTTTCTGTGTGATGGAGCTTAAGAAAGGATG